AACAACAACAACAACAACAACAACAACAACAACAACAACAATAACAACAAAAACGGCGCAGTTTTTTTAAATTACAAGCTAAATTACTTTCTGTCAAAATTACATTTTAAAAGGCCCCAACTTTGCGCACGAATCCAGCCTGCGCCTTTTACGCACGAGCTCTCCAACAGTACCTGCTTTGTGGGGATTCCGTCGGACAGAATCTTATTTCCCTCGGACAGAGGGGACAAAACTTCATTTTTCCAGTACATGAAGCCCGGCAGCTCGTTCAGCTTCTCCCAGAACTCCTCGGATCAGAGGAAGAACCGACGTCGGACCATCCGAACCGTTTATTGGGTTTCTCTGTGTGTGTGTGTGTGTGCAGCTGCGCGAGCTCGATGCGAGCAGCTGAAACCGAAGCAGAGCTCTGCTGCAGAGACGGAGGAGTCGCTCGAGCCCAGAGGTTTCTTCCTGTGAACCCCAACCTCCTCTTCTCTCCTCACTTTGAGCAGGAGTCTCCGACTGCAGGAAGTGAATCAAACGGAGGGGCTGGCAGTTTTTTTTTCCTTCTTCTTCTTCTTTTACTCCAAAGATTCAGGAGAGCGACGGGCAGCAGAGGAGCAACAACCAAAGTGTGTCTGCGGAGATGGAGTGAAAGTTTGCGCGCCTCTTTGGCCTGCCTTATAATCCAGAAAAGGAAAAAAAAAAAAAATGAGGGTGGGGGGTGAGGACAGAGTTTCATATGCAGAAGAAGGGTGGACGCAGTTTGGAACAGATGTCATAAAGTCCTGCAGAGTTGTGCATGGGAAGTGATGGAATAAAAGCAGAGTTGTTGTTGTTGTTGTTTACACGAGTCTTTTAATTGGAACACAAAAACTGAAGATTTTCRGTTAGTGGTCAAAAACAAATATAAATCAAAACAAAAATGGTCCATTAAAATAAATATTGCAGCAGAAGGCAAATTAACCAGAAATAGTGCTTGAAAACTTTATTTTTTTCTTTTTTATTAAAAAAATAAAACTTTATTTTTTCAAAGACAATTATTTATATTAAGTTCAAAATGATAATAAACATTGTTCAAGTCCTAATGTTTTAATCGTTATTTTAGTTTTTAATAAACAATAAAAATTTCAAAATAAAGGTTCATGTTAAATCAAATTTATTCAACAGATTTGCAAAGATGAGAAAACTAAATTAGACTTTAATTTTGTTGCAATCTACAAAAGATGGTTTCTAACATTTGTGATGAGGTAAATAAAACCAGAATAATTAAATTTTAAAATGCTGAATGAAATGATTGGAGCRGTGATTAACAGTATGGAAACCGGCTGCTTTATTTTAGCTGTAAATGTAAAGAAGTGCAGGATGTTTCCAGCCTCATCAGACAAAAATCCTAAGATTTATGGTCAGAAATTATCCAAGTGAAAATAAATAAAAAGCTATTTACAAGCATGAATACAAACAGGTTGTGCTTACAGCAGATAGACATTTAGAATTCTTATTAACAGGCCAGAAAGTTTAGTTTTAATAAACTCAGTTGGTTTGCATTAAATGGAAGATTCACAAAAAGAAAAAAAAGCTTTTCATTTTGAATAATTAGTCAGCATCTTTATTCAAAATATCCTGAGTAAAAAATAAAACTGCTAAGAGTTCATGTCAGGAGAAATTAATTTGAACTAAAATGTTTTTATTTAATCTAAAAACTGCTGATTTATGTTGGATGTTTTGCTGCAAGAAAATGTCAAAGAAAAAGTATCAGTTTTAAAAAGTAAAATCAAATTATTTTGTCTTAAAATTGTGCCTTAAAATATAATTAAGTTGCAAGAATTTCCAGCAAATGATACACTTTTATCATTTGTCTATGTGGGATAAAATGCAACATTTTAAAGTCAGTTTATATACAGTTTTGTGTGCATTTTTCCCACTTTATTTTAATAAATGATGAAGGAGCAAGATTTAAAGAAATCCTCTAAACAGAATCTTGTGATCCACATAGAGCTGGATTGATACTTTTGTATGTTTTATTC